AGCAAAGCATAAGACGACAAGTGGCCAACGTTTGAACCGATTGTAAGACGCAGCAATGCCTAACTGCGCATAACATATTGGATATACTGCTCCTCGGCTGCCGACAGTATCGATACAACCGTCGATTTACTGTATGAACAAAGTTTTTTGGCCCGTTGAAATGTTACACTTTTCAGATACTAAACAACAACAACAACAGATTTCTGTTTCAGTATAAAAATTACCCTTTGATAATATTTGTATAAATAATTTTTAATAAACAAAAAAAATTGGAACCACTAGCAAAAAGGTTTTTTAAAGAACCGAATTTTACTGACTACGATAAAACTGGGAATTCTTCTTTTGGACAATTGCCAACAGTTTAGCAAAGTTGGTTGTCAGTCAGTTTAAAGTTTCAGCAAACTTTTGCAGATACACCAAAAATTAATGACAGCGCAACTACAAAAGATATTTGAATTGTTATTGTATCAACTAATCAATCTGATAATTTTTTATCTGAATAAAACCAAAACCTATACAGCATCTGTGCTTTTTTTTTTTCTGCACCATAAACATTTTGGCTTTATAGCAGCAATGATAAACAGTGGAAACAGACTAAAACTGACCAGACGATAACAAGCATCATTAAATGATAACCATTTAGACGGACAAAAATCTTGGCCTATAAAATTTTTTAGCAGAAAATATTTTTCAACAAAAATAAAAGTTTTATACATTGAAGCATAAGGCTCATGAATCTTTTTCTTTTCAGTTTTTTTGTGTAATTTATAACAATTTCTTCGTCTGTTTTTGAACAACAGTTATGTTACGCTCGTAACTGATTGTTTTCAATTGTTAATTGCTTACGGTTTTATAATTTTTTTTTTTTGTCATTTTTATCAAACATTACTAAAACAGTTAAATTTATATTTTTATAGAGAATAAGTGCTAAAATAAAAGAATTTTTTTTCTGAAAAATATTAGATAGACTTACAGGATTGGGATAAACATTGTTGTAAAAATTCACTGAAAAATAAGCCAACAATAATCAACCGCATTTGTCTCTCGGTTTATTCAATAAATTCAATTTTTGTTGTTGCAAAAAAAAAAAAAAAAAACTATTAACCTGAAAAAACTGTGACAAAAAAATTTTTTTTCAAGTTTTATGCTATTCTCAATAACTTCACTTTTACAATTTCCGTATCAACTGCTTTTTTTCCGTTTCTGAATAAATAGGCTTTGAAGAGAAAAAAAACCGTATTTTTTTGCAGTCAATTTTATTGGTGTTTCTGACTGAGCACTCAGAATGGGCTGTTAACAGCAATCAACGCTAATTTGCAGTAGATTCAAGACTGAAAAATAAAAGCTCTGATTAGGCTATAGTCTTTTTTCTGCTCTAGCATTGTTGGCTATAAATCTGTCTAATAGATCTTAGTTGTTCAAGAATTTTTTTTTGTAAACAACAACAACAAAAACGGTTACTAATACAGCTTTGAACTGTACCGTTGTGTTACATTTGAAAACTATTAGTGACAAATAATTGTAAGAAGGTCTTTTTTTGTTGATATTAACCGAATTAAATGCTGTAAAAGAAACTCTAAATTTGAAGAATGTTTAGGGATTGTAAGAAAAAAGACTTATAAAGTTTAGGTTTTTGTTTTCACATCAAATTTTTTTACAATCAAATGCGGTTGTTGCTGCCAAACATCAATTTTTCCCCTATTATAACCACTGTATTAGGGTTTGTTTTTGACGGCAAAAAAAACCGACGTCTTAATACAACTATGGTCTTTTTTCTAAATTACTTTTAATATTTTTTTAACTAATATTTTTTTGTTAAAATTTAGGTGTTAATTAAGAACGAACGTTATACCGCATATGCGGAACAATGATATCAGTCTGTTCGGTTATTTACTGTATGTTTGGTTATCGTTTTGTTCGTCCTGTGGTCGAGCTGACGACAATTCAGAATTGGCTAACATTGTAAATCCAAAAAGTAAGCCAACAATAATTTTAGTGTTTTTCAAGAAAACAAGAAAAAAAGACAGTTAATTTGTCTAGTTTTTCTTCAAATCACTTGAGCTAAGGTAGATGATGTTTTACAGTTGAATGTAAACCGGGTTTTCAATATTTTTCTGGTGCCTGCTATCGATATGTAAGTATTCAACCGGGTATCTAACTGATCTGTGTAATTTATAAGAGAAAACGAGCTTCACTGATTCATTCTTTCGCTTTTTTGTTTTTGCTTAATCTTTATACTTATTGAATACGGATTGACCGGCTTCAGAATGATTCTGTTACGGCAATAGAAAGAAAAAACATTTATTTGAATTTTTTTACAGGAAAATAAGATGATAGATCGTGAAGATGCGTTAGCAAAATGCAAAATGACTAAATCATTTTTAACCTCAATTTTAACACGAAATGAAGCAACTTTTTTAAATCGTATGATTTTATTACTATTATAATCGTCAATATTATTATAATTGTTCTCATTATTACTGTTGTTAAAAATAAAAAAAGCTTTAAAAAAATGAAAGTTTTAATTTGGCAATGCTGAGGAAATTTTTCTATTTACTTTTGCGTCGTCAGATTATCCTTTCCTTCTGTTCGCTTTCCAATCAGAAAAATTTAAACGAACTAAACATTTCAAGTTTTTCTTTTGCCTAATTTATTCTTTGATTATAGAAAAGTATTTTTAATTAAAAAAAAGAATTTGTAAAGATTATTTCAATTACACAAAAGAAGGACTTTTTTCTTCTATGGTTTCTTCATACAGATCAAATTGTCACTGTGTTAAATTAGACTTGACATCTGGAAAACGATTTTGGCTTGGTTTACGAAAGTCGAAATCAAATGGAAATTGGAGTTGGGACGATGGCAGTGAATACAGTTATAAGAATTGGGATATTGGCGAACCAAATTCCTGTTGTCCAATGGATCCAATACCAATCCATTCGTATGTTGGCGGAAATGGTCTGTGGTATGACACCGGAGAATTGCATTATCCACTGCCAGACGGTTATGTCTGCAAATATAAACGTAAATTTTTATACTTCTGTTTTCGACGGCTGAAACTGCCAAAGTCTTTTTTTTTGACTGAATTCGCTTCAACAGTTACACCTTAAAACTCAAGCAATTTTTTTTTTTGCTAGGCAGAATTTATCATCGGTTTTTATTCCCTGTTTTGCACTGCTTTTCTTTAGTTTGGTAAAATTTCTAACCTTAATTATGTAAGCATAAATTACATTAATTTAACACCTTTAAAACATTAAAAACATGTCTTATTTTAAGAATAATAACTTTATTTATTTACTGTTTTCAATAACATTAAGAAGCTAAGGTTATTTTTTGATGCTTTTTTGTTTAGATAGATTTAATTAGCAAACTATTGAAGCAGTTATGCTAAGTGCCCAAATCTGAAAGAAGAATATAACAAATTCTAGTTTTCTGAATTAATTTTCCATTGCCTTTACCACAATTTCTATTTTTTTAGCATTTAGTTTTATCTTGTAAAATTTCATCGCTATACTATTAAACTTTACAGAAAAAAAGAAAGAAAAATTACTCTAAAAATTGTGCTGCTAACATTTAGGCATTTACTTAACAAAAACAATAACTATTTTTTTATTTATAGATCAGTGTGCAGAAGATTGGAATATCGTTTGGAATCGTTGTTATAAATATGTAAATGCAACTGTTAATAGCGTAAATAAAAACAACAAAAATAAAAGTTAAAGAAACTATTGTAAATTGTGCAAACATTTAAAATTGTATTTTATTCCATCTAAAAATTACTTTAAATTATGTCCTTTTTCACTTTTTATTGTGCTTTAATCTCGGATAACAACTTTATTCAAAATTTCAGTTTACAGTTCCTGAAACTTATACCGTGGCATCAACGATATGCCAAGGATACAATGCTACTTTGACATCCATCGGAAGCACTGTTGAGGAATTGTATTTAAAAAGTATAACTCAACTTCAATAATTGAAATCTTTGTTCACAAAAAAAGAAAAAAAAAAAGATTGAAAATAACGTTGTATTTGTCTCTTTTTTTTTGTTACAACTCTGTAATTTAACAACTGAAAATGATATTCGCTAAAGCAGTTATTAAAGCATTCTTCTCGTCATCGGCTAATAAACTGCAGCAAATGTTTATAATATGCACCAAAAAAAAAAACAAAAAAATAAATTGAAAATAAAAATAGACAAAAAAAGACAAACTGCAGGATTTTGCAGTTTTTATTCATAACTGTTCAGCTGTTTTTAGCATTAACTGGTGGAGTTCCATTTTGGGTTGGATTACAACGAGATTCTGATAGATGGTTTTGGACAGACGGTACTGATTCAGCATCTCTACCCTGGAAAAGCAAAGAATTTAGCAACTGCTGTGAGAACGACGAAGTAACCGTTATCTACAACCAAGGTTTACAGGTGGTCACAGTTGAAGATTGGCAAACTGGTTTTGTATGTAAAATTGATGGTAATTTTTACTTCTTTGTCAGTAATATTGTCAAGAAAAAAAATTTTTTTTTCGAAAATTTTTAGTGTTTCTGAGACTTTAATAATTTTTTATTGATTAAAAAGAAAGAAGCAGAACTGTTTGAACAAATACTAATTTATAGGAGATGCAGATTATTCTCCGCCAGCTGAAATGCATATTGCAAAAACAATTCTATTACCGGTTAGTAGACAACGATTATCAAAAAAAAAAAAAGAAATAGAAATTCTAATTAACAGAAGAAAATGTTTCAAAAACCTTTGATAGCAACAAATCGACTAAAGTATTTTTATATGCTTATCGTACTGAAAAAGCAAATTTTTGGTCAAAATCTATATCTTAAAGTTTATATATCAAAATTTTGTATTTTAAAACTTTATTTTTTAGAAAAAACTTGAACAACAGTATCCCAGCGCTACAATTACAACTGACAGTAAAAAAATTTCTGATAATTGTTCATTTGAAAATTGAAAAAGATCAGTTTTCAAAGATAACAGTTGTCAAATTGTCATTTATATTATCTGCATTTTGCATGTTGACAATTTATCAAAAAACTGATGATTGTTAATTGTTCAGAAATTCTATTAACTTATTGAATAACAATTTTTTTTTTTTGTTTTTTTAGCTTTTCAAAATTTAGTATCTTCTCGATGATATAAGGATAAAGCTTAGTTTCAGATAGGTATAGTTGAGAAAGGTGTTTCTGACTAGTATTTGTTGAACATTTTTGTTTTTTTTTTCATTTTTTGCACTTTTAATCAATTATTAACTTTAGTTTTTTTCTTTTATTTTAATAAATCCAAATATTTTTAATGACTTGAAAGATTTTTCTTTTTTTTTTTTTTTTTTTTTTTTTTTTTTT